CTAAAAAACCGCGCAAGACATGAACGGTTTTGAGCGGTTTATCTAAAAAACCGCGCAAGATTTGAACGGTTTTGAACGGTTTATCTAAAAAACCGCGCAAGATTTGAACGGTTTTGAGCGGTTTATCTAAAAAACCGCGCAAGATTTGAACGGTTTTGAGCGGTTTATCTAAAAAACCGCGCAAGATTTGAACGGTTTTGAACGGTTTATCTAAAAAACCGCGCAAGATTTGAACGGTTTTGAGCGGTTTATCTAAAAAACCGCGCAAGATTTGAACGGTTTTGAACGGTTTATCTAAAAAACCGCGCAAGATTTGAACGGTTTTGAGCGGTTTATCTAAAAAACCGCGCAAGATTTGAACGGTTTTGAACGGTTTATCTAAAAAACCGCGCAAGATTTGAACGGTTTTGAGCGGTTTATCTAAAAAACCGCGCAAGATTTGAACAGTTTTGAGCGGTTTATCTAAAAAACCGCGCAAGATTTGAACGGTTTTGAGCGGTTTATCTAAAAAACCGCGCAAGATTTGAACGGTTTTGAGCGGTTTATCTAAAAAACCGCGCAAGATTTGAACGGTTTTGAGCGGTTTATCTAAAAAACCGCGCAAGATTTGAACGGTTTTGAACGGTTTATCTAAAAAACCGCGCAAGATTTGAACGGTTTTGAGCGGTTTATCTAAAAAACCGCGCAAGATTTGAACGGTTTTTGAACGGTTTATCTAAAAAACCGCGCAAGATTTGAACGGTTTTGAGCGGTTTATCTAAAAAACCGCGCAAGATTTGAACGGTTTTGAGCGGTTTATCTAAAAAACCGCGCAAGATATGAACGGTTTTGAGCGGTTTATCTAAAAAACCGCGCAAGATTTGAACAGTTTTGAGCGGTTTATCTAAAAAACCGCGCAAGATTTGAACGGTTTTGAGCGGTTTATCTAAAAAACCGCGCAAGATTTGAACGGTTTTGAGCGGTTTATCTAAAAAACCGCGCAAGATTTGAACAGTTTTGAGCGGTTTATCTAAAAAACCGCGCAAGATTTGAACGGTTTTGAGCGGTTTATCTAAAAAACCGCGCAAGATTTGAACAGTTTTGAGCGGTTTATCTAAAAAACCGCGCAAGATTTGAACGGTTTTGAGCGGTTTATCTAAAAAACCGCGCAAGATTTGAACGGTTTTGAACGGTTTATCTAAAAAACCGCGCAAGATTTGAACGGTTTTGAGCGGTTTATCTAAAAAACCGCGCAAGATATGAACGGTTTTGAGCGGTTTATCTAAAAAACCGCGCAAGATTTGAACAGCTTTGAGCGGTTTATCTAAAAAACCGCGCAAGATTTGAACGGTTTTGAGCGGTTTATCTAAAAAACCGCGCAAGATTTGAACGGTTTTGAACGGTTTATCTAAAAAACCGCGCAAGATTTGAACGGTTTTGAGCGGTTTATCTAAAAAACCGCGCAAGATTTGAACGGTTTTGAACGGTTTATCTAAAAAACCGCGCAAGATTTGAACGGTTTTGAGCGGTTTATCTAAAAAACCGCGCAAGATTTGAACGGTTTTGAGCGGTTTATCTAAAAAACCGCGCAAGATTTGAACGGTTTTGAGCGGTTTATCTAAAAAACCGCGCAAGATTTGAACGGTTTTGAACGGTTTATCTAAAAAACCGCGCAAGATTTGAACGGTTTTGAGCGGTTTATCTAAAAAACCGCGCAAGATTTGAACGGTTTTGAACGGTTTATCTAAAAAACCGTGCAAGATTTGAACGGTTTTGAGCGGTTTATCTAAAAAACCGCGCAAGATTTGAACGGTTTTGAACGGTTTATCTAAAAAACCGCGCAAGATTTGAACGGTTTTGAGCGGTTTATCTAAAAAACCGCGCAAGATTTGAACAGTTTTGAGCGGTTTATCTAAAAAACCGCGCAAGATTTGAACGGTTTTGAGCGGTTTATCTAAAAAACCGCGCAAGATTTGAACGGTTTTGAGCGGTTTATCTAAAAAACCGCGCAAGATTTGAACGGTTTTGAGCGGTTTATCTAAAAAACCGCGCAAGATATGAACGGTTTTGAGCGGTTTATCTAAAAAACCGCGCAAGATTTGAACAGTTTTGAGCGGTTTATCTAAAAAACCGCGCAAGATTTGAACGGTTTTGAGCGGTTTATCTAAAAAACCGCGCAAGATTTGAACGGTTTTGAGCGGTTTATCTAAAAAACCGCGCAAGATTTGAACGGTTTTGAACGGTTTATCTAAAAAACCGCGCAAGATTTGAACGGTTTTGAGCGGTTTATCTAAAAAACCGCGCAAGATTTGAACGGTTTTGAGCGGTTTATCTAAAAAACCGCGCAAGACATGAACGGTTTTGAGCGGTTTATCTAAAAAACCGCGCAAGATTTGAACGGTTTTGAACGGTTTATCTAAAAAACCGCGCAAGATTTGAACGGTTTTGAGCGGTTTATCTAAAAAACCGCGCAAGATTTGAACGGTTTTGAGCGGTTTATCTAAAAAACCGCGCAAGATTTGAACGGTTTTGAACGGTTTATCTAAAAAACCGCGCAAGATTTGAACGGTTTTGAGCGGTTTATCTAAAAAACCGCGCAAGATTTGAACGGTTTTGAACGGTTTATCTAAAAAACCGCGCAAGATTTGAACGGTTTTGAGCGGTTTATCTAAAAAACCGCGCAAGATTTGAACGGTTTTGAACGGTTTATCTAAAAAACCGCGCAAGATTTGAACGGTTTTGAGCGGTTTATCTAAAAAACCGCGCAAGATTTGAACAGTTTTGAGCGGTTTATCTAAAAAACCGCGCAAGATTTGAACGGTTTTGAGCGGTTTATCTAAAAAACCGCGCAAGATTTGAACGGTTTTGAGCGGTTTATCTAAAAAACCGCGCAAGATTTGAACGGTTTTGAGCGGTTTATCTAAAAAACCGCGCAAGATTTGAACGGTTTTGAACGGTTTATCTAAAAAACCGCGCAAGATTTGAACGGTTTTGAGCGGTTTATCTAAAAAACCGCGCAAGATTTGAACGGTTTTGAACGGTTTATCTAAAAAACCGCGCAAGATTTGAACGGTTTTGAGCGGTTTATCTAAAAAACCGCGCAAGATTTGAACGGTTTTGAGCGGTTTATCTAAAAAACCGCGCAAGATATGAACGGTTTTGAGCGGTTTATCTAAAAAACCGCGCAAGATTTGAACAGTTTTGAGCGGTTTATCTAAAAAACCGCGCAAGATTTGAACGGTTTTGAGCGGTTTATCTAAAAAACCGCGCAAGATTTGAACGGTTTTGAGCGGTTTATCTAAAAAACCGCGCAAGATTTGAACAGTTTTGAGCGGTTTATCTAAAAAACCGCGCAAGATTTGAACGGTTTTGAGCGGTTTATCTAAAAAACCGCGCAAGATTTGAACAGTTTTGAGCGGTTTATCTAAAAAACCGCGCAAGATTTGAACGGTTTTGAGCGGTTTATCTAAAAAACCGCGCAAGATTTGAACGGTTTTGAACGGTTTATCTAAAAAACCGCGCAAGATTTGAACGGTTTTGAGCGGTTTATCTAAAAAACCGCGCAAGATATGAACGGTTTTGAGCGGTTTATCTAAAAAACCGCGCAAGATTTGAACAGCTTTGAGCGGTTTATCTAAAAAACCGCGCAAGATTTGAACGGTTTTGAGCGGTTTATCTAAAAAACCGCGCAAGATTTGAACGGTTTTGAACGGTTTATCTAAAAAACCGCGCAAGATTTGAACGGTTTTGAGCGGTTTATCTAAAAAACCGCGCAAGATTTGAACGGTTTTGAACGGTTTATCTAAAAAACCGCGCAAGATTTGAACGGTTTTGAGCGGTTTATCTAAAAAACCGCGCAAGATTTGAACGGTTTTGAGCGGTTTATCTAAAAAACCGCGCAAGATTTGAACGGTTTTGAGCGGTTTATCTAAAAAACCGCGCAAGATTTGAACGGTTTTGAGCGGTTTATCTAAAAAACCGCGCAAGATTTGAACGGTTTTGAGCGGTTTATCTAAAAAACCGCGCAAGATTTGAACGGTTTTGAGCGGTTTATCTAAAAAACCGCGCAAGATTTGAACGGTTTTGAGCGGTTTATCTAAAAAACCGCGCAAGATTTGAACGGTTTTGAGCGGTTTATCTAAAAAACCGCGCAAGATATGAACGGTTTTGAGCGGTTTATCTAAAAAACCGCGCAAGATTTGAACAGTTTTGAGCGGTTTATCTAAAAAACCGCGCAAGATTTGAACGGTTTTGAGCGGTTTATCTAAAAAACCGCGCAAGATTTGAACGGTTTTGAGCGGTTTATCTAAAAAACCGCGCAAGATTTGAACGGTTTTGAGCGGTTTATCTAAAAAACCGCGCAAGATTTGAACGGTTTTGAGCGGTTTATCTAAAAAACCGCGCAAGATTTGAACGGTTTTGAACGGTTTATCTAAAAAACCGCGCAAGATTTGAACGGTTTTGAGCGGTTTATCTAAAAAACCGCGCAAGATTTGAACAGTTTTGAGCGGTTTATCTAAAAAACCGCGCAAGATTTGAACGGTTTTGAGCGGTTTATCTAAAAAACCGCGCAAGATTTGAACGGTTTTGAGCGGTTTATCTAAAAAACCGCGCAAGATTTGAACGGTTTTGAGCGGTTTATCTAAAAAACCGCGCAAGATTTGAACGGTTTTGAACGGTTTATCTAAAAAACCGCGCAAGATTTGAACGGTTTTGAGCGGTTTATCTAAAAAACCGCGCAAGATTTGAACGGTTTTGAACGGTTTATCTAAAAAACCGCGCAAGATTTGAACGGTTTTGAGCGGTTTATCTAAAAAACCGCGCAAGATTTGAACGGTTTTGAACGGTTTATCTAAAAAACCGCGCAAGATTTGAACGGTTTTGAGCGGTTTATCTAAAAAACCGCGCAAGATTTGAACGGTTTTGAGCGGTTTATCTAAAAAAACCGCTCAAATCAAGGCCTCCTATTGTTTTACAACCATTGTTGGTTAGTTATCCGACACCTTACACCCGCCACTCACCTCCCGTTTCTTCTGTTCCTTCCTCTCTGCAGCAGTCACCTCCCCCCTCCCTATCTCTTCCCTGTCCTCAGCTGTCAGCTTCTCCCGCTTCTTGATCTCCTGCCTAGTCTGACTCCTCAGGATCAGATCCAGCTCTGTAAAAAGTGACAACCTATTTTAACACTATTGACTGGACAGTCCACAGATTATAGTTTGACAGTTTTTCACACAATATTTACTTAAGAATTCTTCATTTAAATGCAAAATCTTTCTTTTGCAGCGAAAACCTATGATTGTTTAATTAAAATGAAGAGTAACTAAAAGATATCGGTAGAAGAATCTTTGGCACGAAGTTTTCGGAGAAGCTTCTATAGCTCTAAACTGTATTTGAGAGCGTGTTGTCTTTCTATGAGGAGGAGGAGGAGTGTACCCGTTTTGAGTCTGAGTGACTCGTCGTAGTACTGTGTCTTTTTGTCCACTCCAAAAGAGTAGAGGGAGGCTATTATTCCCATCATGTAGGCTGCATGTACCTTGCCCATCACAGCCATCACCCACGAGATCTGCGTCTCCAGCAGGTTGCGAGGCACCAGGTCACCGAAACCTAAATTGAGGCACTTCAAATGAAACAACCCTCACAAATGCGCACGCCTCATATCAGAAGTTGTCACCCACTCACAACTCTGAGCTCGCCATTTTTGGCTGACTGACGCTTGAAATTTGCTGATGGGACTCTCAGTGTCAACATGTAATAAGTGCAAGGAGATGAAGGCCAGAAAAACGCAATTCTTTGGATAAAGTTTTCCAAAATGTGCTCAAAGACGTCAATTTTAGTACGTTTTCTCACAAGTTCAATTGCGTAATAAAAAACTAAGATTTGGCTTGCAGACGTATTTAGGAAAAGATTATGACGAGAGTCTAGTTCGAACAAAGTTATACCTGCTGAAGTGGTGACAGTGATGACGAAGTAGAAGGTGGTGATGTAAATGAGGGCATTCTCTGACAAGCAAAGCAGACAGCTCGAAGCTATTCTTGAATTTACAAGAGGATTTCCTTTTCACTTCTACCAAGATTTTTCTGTGTCATTACTAATTTTTCCATTAAAGATGCTTATTAACCAGAAAGCAAAAAGTTTGAAAACGCATCATATATGTTTTTTGATGGCGCCAATTCCTTGATGGTTAACAAGATGTTTTTTAATGGACTCAAAAACAAAATAGACTCGACATCTCATATTTCTCATGTCCCTGGATTTTAAGTCTGAGTTTCGAACTGTCAGTGAAGAGTGCGTCTTTGTTGTATAGAACTGAAATAAAATCAACAATTATTTGGATAAGTGACGAGAAAAATGGAATTGTGACTGTTTCATGGTTTAATAATTATATAACGCCGTAGCGTTGAAAAAAAACGTATTTTCTTTCATTCAATGCAGAGTTCAATATATGAACTCAAGTGAAAATGCCCGGGCTGAGGTGCTCGACTCATGATTCGACCGAAAAGGTCGAACGATGTCTGTTTTGGACTTTTTCAGTCGAACGATGTCCGATTTCGACTTTTTGAGTCGAACGATGTCCGTTTTCGACTTTGTTCGACTTTACCGGACATTGTTCGATTTTGTTCGACTTTACTGGACATTGTTCGACTTTGTTCGACTTTATCGGGAATCAGCAGAAGAGTCCTTATTTACAACGAAACTCGGACATCATTTGACTGTTTCTGTCCAATCATCTTTCAAAAACCTCAGCCTGGGCAGCCACAAAATGTACAAGAAAACGCCACAAAATTGATTCGTGTAGCCCGGATTGAGTTGTTGGGCTTACGTTTCAATCAAACAGACCAAAAATGGCTGTGTTTTGACCGTTTCGTTTAAAAATGGCTTTGTTTTGACCGACTCGAACCAATTTGGCTATGTTTTGACCGACTTGATTGAAGAAAAATGGCTTCGATTGTGTTTGCTGTAAGCTAACTATGTTGCGACCGACTCGACCCAAGCTGGCTATGTTTCGACCGACTCGACCAAAGGATAAATTGTTCGACAGAGTTTGAAGCAAGCCAGTTAGTTTTGAACGGACTCAGCCTAAGGAAAATTTGATCGACCGCAGCCCATTATATTTTGAACGACTCGAAGAAATTAGCGGTGTTTCGAACTTCTCAACCAAAAGAAAATGTTTTCAACTGGGTTCGACGCAACTGACACTTAAAAAAATTCCTGAAATTTCTGTTAATTCATTCAATCAGAACTGAAAATAGGAGTAATAGGCCAATGCGGAAACGATGCAACTTTCCGGACTAAGGAGGAGACGGCGCGACTTTCCAGGCTACGGCGGAGGCGGCGCGCCTTTCTAGACCATGCCGATGAAACTTACTAGTTCGCAACCAAAGCACCCGAGTTTGTCGGGTTAGTGGAAGCACCAAAATGTAGAAAAAAAATATGATTCTTAATATACTTTTTTACAAAGTTGTAACGTGATTGGGAAACTCTGTGCTAATTCCCTAGCAATCTGATTATCTCGTGTTATAATGAAATACTGTTTGTATGCATTGACACTGACACTTGTCGACAGCCAGTCTGATGAGGGTGTCTTGGGGACAGTCTTCTTTGAAGAGACAGGTGGACGCGATGAAGACGAAAGTGACAGAGTGGAAGAAGAGGAACCCATTCACGAACTCCTGTATTATCCCCACCACTATGTTGCCCAGACCCAGGAAACTGTTAAGTGCCTACATCATCACAACACACCATATTACAAATGTTTTGCTTTTTGGCAGTAGTTTTTTACAGCAAAAAACTAGTTTTACAGCCTATGCTTTCTCTGCTCGCTGCTGGCTTTTTTAAAATCAAAACTGGGTTAAAAAGGAACTCCTGGAACCGGCTTTCTCATAACTTCTCGGGGAAACTTTTTAGAAACTCTAAAATAAGTATTTGTTTTTTTTTCTGGCAGTTCATGTTTTTGCGCTTGTTATGATGGAGAGCGGGATTAGTACGTGTGGTTTTAGACTTGGTATTTTTCAGCCTAGTTTGTGAAAAAAGGGATTCGAACAGTAAATAAAGCGAAATTTTTAAAACGAACTTTTGAAAAGTCTAATTATGACTGACTTAAGTGCTTATACTGACATCGGATATTTCGTGGAATCTGTACATAAGGAAGAATACTCGGAATAACACTGCATACACTAGTTCCCCATACCGCAGTCCCATGGAGTCTGAATTGAAGAAGTGGTGGAAGCATTCAAAGGGCACAATTGAACAGCCCTGCAGCAAAAACCAAAACACATAGGCGTTACAGAATTCAAGGAAGCAATCTGATTATTTGAGTTACTGTCAAAGAATTTTTTAATTTTAAGCCAATTGGAAACTTTCTCTTTTTCCCGTGTGCCTATTTGGTGCATTTGGGAGCTGGGTACTTTCGGACTGAGAAAATATCAATTAAATATTGAAACTAAAAATAAAAATATTGTAATTTAAATTTTTGTTAAAAATACGAAGTTTTATCAATGTACCAATTGAGCTCAACTATAAGCTATTTTAAAGATCCCTGCCTGCAAGAAGTACTTGAACCTCTGCCAGTGCGGAGGCAAAGTGATATAGGGCTCCACTAATACTATCTCCAACAGCATAATGAAACAGCAGCAACAGATTATTCCGACGAGTGCCCACTCGTTCTCATCGTACTTCATGACATAGACGAAGGGACTGATGATGTAGAGGACATACAACACAACTCGGATGATGATGATGACAATGAGACTGTTCTTCAGAGCACGCCTCATCGACACAAATCTACACGCAGAGCAACTACTCTCAATCAAATTGTCCAATTTAGTAACTCAAGTTTTTAAATAGCAACATCGGTTCATCAATAGACATTTATGACGACATGTCAGTGACGATAAAAACGGGTCTTAAATTTTTTCGTTTATGGTTACTGAGTCACTTTTGCTGCCTGACTATTTAAGTTGTTTTTGTAGTTCAATCATCTCCAGCTTCATAAAAACATAGCTAAAAGAGTCAACGAATGCAAGAACTCGAGTTTCAAAGAACAAAATAAATACCCTTAAAGCTCTTTGAATTTCCAGAACACTTTGTTTGACACTTTTTTGATTATTTAACCCAATTAGAGAAAATCGGATCAAATGTAAATTTTTACGCTGGGAAATCTGAAAATTACATTTTCTACTTTGGAAGCTACACTAGTGAGTAAAATTAAAATAAATTCAGGTTTTTACTCTCTTAACTACCGCTTCTTGATGTCCATTTTGGACAGCATTTCCCTCGAAATTCAGTTAAAATTTTACATAGACCATGAGCAAATCATCAGAGCTACCATCTATGAAAGTATCAATATTACCAATGTAGTCCGGGTCTGAAAATGCCAGTTTTCCTCATCTGTACTTTGCGTACTTCATCTCTACTTTTCTTAATTTTCTCATAAGTTCTTTACTTCGCGTGAATAACTAAAAAACGTCTGATTTAAGTAAGAGTTTCACACTGATTGTTTCCATTTTCTCGCTGAAAATTTTTCACGATGCATGAACAAAGTTTTTATTCCGCTTATTCAAGAAACATTTCACTACGATGCAAAAAATAATGCAGATGAGGAAAACTGGCAATTTCAGACCCGGATTACATTAATAAGTCATTGCTTTTGGTCCAAGTTAAAATTTTACTGAACTTTCAAGGAAATAATGAATTGTTGTCCAAAATGGACATTGAAAACAGGCTAATTGGAGAGTAAAATCCTGAATTTGCAATTAACTTTGTCCACTAGTGTAAATTGAAATACCAACATTATTGTCTGAAAGAGGGTTGTTTTGATAATAAAGCAAGAAATAGGATCTAATACACTAGTGGACAATATTAAACGCAAAAAAAATGATTGAAATGCAATTGAAATTTTAGCCTGGAATTGATTTTTGATATTTTTAAACAATTCATTAAGTTTTCTTGATTCCGTGCTCAAATACAGGTAACGTAATTTTGGTCGGCTCATTAGTTTTGTCGCAAATTCCGCAACAAGCGAATTTAGCTACTTTTTCAGGTTTCTGTGAATCTAAACGGGCTACGCAAATTTTAAGCAGATTCCAGCAATTTTTTGCAGATTCCGCTTGCATTTTGCGGATTCCGCCTACAATTGTGGATTATGCGACAGCAAAATTCTTGTTACACAATATTATTTGTTTTTAGAATCCACAAACAATTCCGGACTCCTAAATTGTTGTTGCGGGTTCCGCATATTTGCATGTTTTGGAGTGATTTCGAGCATTACAGTGTTTTAGCTGTTTGTTCGTGGAATCAAAAACAGCTGCAAAGATCAACGAAAACTAGCAATATTGCAGTTTCTGCGACAAAACTGTATTCGGCCTGTTGCTAATCCGCTGACAGTAAGCAAAAATCACAGTTTGGCTTCGTGATGATCAACACAGAAGCATTTTTCCTCTAGATTTTACAGAAAATCAGGAATACCCATTTATGTGGGAGCCTATCAATTTTTCTGGTTGATTCGAATTAAGTCGGACAGAATTTCTATACCAGCGAGAATTGAAGATATTTGAGGCTCATACAATTTTTCTTTCGAGCCGATCAAAATTTATCTGGATAAAGATGTGGATTGTTTTTGTTCGAGAAGGTCGACAGGCAGTCAAAACATAATCCTTTTCGATCAACAAAAACAAAACATTCCTGAACTGGTTCGAGCAAAACCGAACATATTGTTTTTGATACAAAACTTTGAGGTATGAGAAAAAGTGGCACAAAGTCGAAATCTCATCCCGTATCTCTGGTGAGAATAAACTTAGCATAACTAGCCCACTCTTGTTAACCACATCTTTTTCTTCCTCCTCCTCATCACTGCTGTCCCCCGATGACTCATCCTCGTCCTGCTCCCCCTCATCCTCATCGGGAAGAGTCACCTCTTCAGTTGACGTGCCATCAGATGATGAACCTGTATTACATCATAAAGAATGCAGAAAAATTTATAATTTGTTCTCCGTGAACATTTCAATCTAATGAATTACAGAATTGCTCAAAGATAAAGCTGTGTATTGACAAAAAATGAAGACGATTGGTGAAACCTTCTTCCTCGTCCGAGGTGTCGCCTGATGATTTGGCATTAGGATCTTTTGAGACCACTTTTCCGAATTTCTTCCTCTCATACTCTTCTTGCTCCTTCCTCGTTCTCTCCCTCAACATCCGCATAGCATCTTTCTCGTCATCCGAGTTCGGGTTGGTCTATAAGATCAGCAATATTTGTTAGCAAGCTGGCGACGTTGTGTTTTACTATATTCTATTTACCTTCTGACATTGTGACTGTGTTCTATTTAACAAACTAACCTGCCCTACGGTGGCGGAATGTATTGGCGGAATGGATAGCCACAACTCAAAAAGTTTAGCCAGTGCATACAGACCGAGTCGAAATCCGCGATTTAAGAACACCGTCAACTGACAATTGGAAATTAGTAATGAAAAAAAAAACTGATCAAAAATGAAAAATCTGCAATGAAAAAAAAAAGAAAAAAAACGCAAGGAAACAGAACAAAAACTGTTTTGATTTTCGAAAAAATTTCAAGTTTCGAATTTTTAAGAAAAAGTAGTACCTCTTCGAGTTCTTTGTTTTTCACGAACAAGGTATGATTTGTGCTTTTTTGATAAAGTTAATCCAATTTGAAAAAAAGGGGTCAATAGATAAAACTTTTACATCGCTGGGTATATCGATAATTAATTTCTTTTTCGAAACTAGAAGTCTATTAAGACTTCAGCAACGTTCATAATTTTTCAGTTCGATAGTCGAGTTGCCCGCACCGAAGTTTCATGGACAAAGATTGATTACAATGGTTTTTTGTTGACTAAAATGTTGTCTATATAATTGATTATCATAGCAAATTTAGACAAAGTAATGGATTTTTAATCCATTTTATTCGTTTATTTTTGACAAATAATATTTCCTTAAAATCAATTATAATCGATGATAATCCATTTTTTTAAAAAAATAATGGATATTTTTTGTACATAAAATCCATGAAAAGTGATTAAATTTTATAAATAATGAGTCAACTTTTTGCAATTTTCTGCAAAACTTGAACAAACACGTTCATCTATGGGCGGGGCGGCTAAAGTATAGTAATTTTGTAAAGGACAATATGTCGTATGTTTCCAAAAAAAAAGCCCGGAAACGGCATTTTTGAATAGTTTTTTTTTTCAAGAAGTTTGCCTACAGCGCTAAAAATTTGGTCGAAATACATTTTTTAGTGTTGTGGGAGTATTCGGAAAATCAAATTGGCCGAACTGCCAACTTTTTGAAATCCCCCCACCCCCACGTCCACCCCCACGACCAACCCCTCCTACGTCCATAGCCTAACCCCCCCTACGTCCTCCCACGTCCGCCCCACGCCTCCTACTTGTTCCCCCCATATGCCCATCTTTTCCCGCATTTGAACCCCAACCACTCTCACTCCCTCCCCACGCGCTTACCACAACCCCAATAAACACTAAACACCCCCACAGGACAGGTAACTATAAAGTACCGGTAAACGTGGGGGATGGTGTGCGGTCTGCCCCCAAACAACCCCCCCCCCCACACACACACCACCTCAACCCCCCCCCCCCCACACACATTTACCCATACTATATAACTACCTATCCAGGTTGGGATTGGCGAATAACACTCAATTAAAATAATAGCAAAAATACGTGACTTTTTATAAATTTTCATAAGCGCGATTGAAATTTAAAAAAAAATTGAAACTTAGTGAGAGAAAAAATAGCTAACTTAAGTTTAACACTATTATAAAAAATTGAAAACAGCACACCAAAAGATTTCAATAAATGGATTATAATCTGTTATAATTGATTAAAATTGATTATTTTTCTTTTGATAATGAAATTTTAAATTAGGTTGAATAATATCGACAATAATCGATTATAATCGATTATATTGGGATTTTTTTTGCTTAAAAATTAGTATCAATATAATCCATTTTTAATTATATTTGTTGTTTTATAGAGAATGACAATTAAAATCCAATATAATTGAAAGTTCACTGTGAGCGGCCTTTTTAACAGAGGAAATGGAGAAATGATTTTTAAAAGAAAAAGTCAAGCCGCAAAAATCACATTTGAGCTCAAACAAATTTTAAGACTATTCTGAAAAAAATCACCGAGACCTATATAAGAGTATTCACTACGTTCATGCCTCCTAAATTTATCTGAGAAGCTGCAAGACTTTTGGGACGGCGGGGGTTAAAAACGATGTAGG